TTCTCCGTGCTGATACCTACCTCATGATTTCCACACACTGAGCATCCAGCTACTGCAAAGGAAGGGCTTTTGTTTGTTAGGACAATAAGAACTTGTCAATGCATAGGATGGATGAATCCCTCAAGCCAGTGTATTTGATTTGTGCTATGATGAAAAGCACATGCGTAATGTAGTGTCCTTTAAGCAGTGCTGCCTGCACGTCTTTCTCAAGTTTACTACTGGTATTTGTAACTATTGCTTCAGCCAGTAATTATCTTCTGCTTAAAACTTTTCAGGAGAAGCAGAGATTGAGAGCGATGATGATGATGACTATGATGATGACTGTAAAAAGTCGTCGATGGATGAAGTAAGGGTGCAGATGTGTTTTATGGTGATGGGTCGGTTCCAGCAGTTGTGGGTTGGCTTGTGTTACTAGGAGTGGGACTACCATCTAGTGGAGAAAGGGAGACAGAGCACTGGGAAACACACCACCAACTTTCTGAAGTTGGTTGTTAATCGATTTGGAAGCACATCTTTGCTTTGTTTATTTATATTTTCATTTACTGAAGAATAAGAATCGATAGCACCACAGCTGATCTGTTTTAGACAACTGCTTGTGGTGTATTTAGCATTATTGGAAGAAAAACTTGGCATTGGAAACTTAGAGCTGTATCTATTATTTATCCAACAGTACTGATAAACGGGCTCAGCACTATGCATATGTAAAGGTAATTCAGTCACTTCCCTAGGAGCCATGTAAAAAGCATGAATACAGCAGCAGTTTAATTAAACATTTAAATTATAAAGCAAATTTTCTTCTTTACTGTGTGAAGCTCCCTGTGTAAGGCACTGACTTCACAAAGCCAGGATCAGTGAAAGATACCACAGTTGACAGAAAACTGGGCTTTGGTATTTGTGGCCTCTGAGGTCCACCATGGACAAATGAAAACTGCAGCATTTTCCCTTCTCTGTCCTAGGGTACTGCTGGAAGTGAGGCTATGGCCACGGAAGAGATGTCTAACCTGGTGAACTACATTCAGCCTGTGAAGTTTGAGTCATTTGAAGTATCAAAAAGTAAGTAAGCTAAGCATGAGCAACATCTTATACTGGAAATTACCTAGCAAGTGTTTGGAAGAATCTGGAGAAATGCTACTTGGCTTCTTCTCAGTTAGATACAGGCACACAGACAAAAAATGTTCCCTTGGTATCCAGCCAAATAAATCCATTATTTATTTTGAAACCTGCATCGGTCTAAATATCAAACTTCATCAACAGTAAACATACTGCTATTTCAAAAACATTTTTTTAAAATGGGTTGTCTTTGTTGTTCATGACTGAAGAGTAATTTAAGCAGTTTGAGAAAGGTGATCATAAATATTCCTTAGATTCAGCAAGTGCTTTATAGTTTGCCTCTGCTACTTTTGTAGAGGATTCAGTGGAATCAGAGTCTGCCCTTCCCCATACACAAATTCACTCGTTCCTGCCTCTGTGTGTTGTATAGAAAAGGCTGTAATTTCACCCCCCACTGGCTTTTACAGAAGATGCCTTGCTAGGAATGCACTTGGTGGCATCCTCAATAAACACTTGCAGCATCTTTTCCTTTCTTGGTGCAGAACCCCCTACTGTTTGCCTGCCCTTTTTCACTTTGTTTTGACAGGTTGCAATATCCTCTTGGAGCTTTTTAGTTAAAGAAGTGTATAGCATTTTAATTTATTGAGGATTTGTGGAGGCCTTGGCAAGAGGACAGGTAATTGGTGCCTGAGTCCCTGTCTGTATACAAGATTTTACATTTACTCATCGTGACTTATAAACATACAAGAAATTATCTACCTGTTCATTTGTATGTGAGTATTTATACAAACATAGACACAAGCATTCACAAAATCATAGAGAGTGCTATGCTTGTTCCCTATAGTAGTGTCCTTTTGGGTGTTGATAATCTCTAGCTCTAATGAGAAT